GGGGGAAAAGGTAACTAAAAGTATCACCTGCCCTGGGCCAGATACCACCTCCCAAAACCAACTGCAGCCCAAATGGAAACCCCACCCCGCAGCCGCTGTCGCTCCTGGCCAGCCCCTTGGGCGCTCCACTTCAGCGCACACTCGAAAAAGGCAGAAAAACAAAAAGTAAAAACTAAAATGCAGAAGGCAAGAGTGCGTCCTGGCTGTGGTCCTGGTTGCTAGTCCAATTCCTGGTGCTGCTGCAGGAACTTTTACTGCCGGCCGCACACTTCGGTGGTGGATTTTAATGGAACGCTTTGGGTTAATTCAGAATTCTTTTGTTTTGCTTTCGCTGACTAACCTGGGCTAGGCTCGGGGTTGGCCAAATGCCAGGTGCACCCGGTCAGCCGGGTTGCCTTCGCTGGCTTATGGATTAGTGGTGGCCCCTTAACCGGAGAACTAGCCCAGCCTGGTTCGACAGTTCACTGACACTAAACCGATCCCTGCTTTGACTTGGAGATCCTGATCCGCTGGCCAGACAGAAAATCCGACAAATCAATGGCTTTAGGCCATCTAAATCGTTTGTAAGGCCATAAGCACTTTAACACCTTCCAACATGACTGATGATGCGGGGATACTCAGTCCCACATGCAAAACGTGCAACAAAGTAGCTGCCCCAAATGAGACAGAGATAGGGAGAGAAAGAGACACGCGTACACTCGTTTAATGGCTGATATTGGGGTGATTACCCCTTTCTCCTGGCCGAAATCTCTGGCCCCACTACCGCCCAGTTTGGCATATGGAGCAGCACTATTTAGGCTTCGATACGCTGCATTACGCAATGGTGTTAATTACTAACACACGGACACCAGGCACACGGTATACGGCGAGTGGGAGAGCTACTACACTATAGATATGGATACTTAGATACTTGGATACTTAGATACTTAGATACATAGATACTTAGCTGCTTAGATACACACACTGGCAGACGGATAATCGCCGGCAAGCAACTGTAGCGAACGGGTAGTGGAAAAACGGTTAACCAAAGACGGTAGTAAAAGCATTTAAAACCATTTTCCACGGCGTCCCCAATAGAAAATCGTCCATAAAAAACAAAGTATTTTCTCTTAATGAACCGCTTAGGAATGGGAAATGCCGGCAAGGAACTTTAACTTTATTTTCAAAGGATATCCCCCGGGCACATGTCGTTCAACCGACATATATATATACATATATCTACCGATCTCTGACACCCCCCTTCCCATTGTAATTAACTAAATAGAATAACCCGCCAGTCGGTCTTTGAAGCCGAGATACTTTTAACCCCATGTGAACCGGCTTTTGTGAGGAGGGCGCAGGCGCAGGCGCAACTAATGAGCAACCCACCACCATGCCAGCCATGTGGTGTCTCCCCCACCCACCCATCCATCGCCCGCCGGCTGGTCAGTCCGTTTGACCAACATTAAACTGAGCTGTGAGTTCCAAAATTTATGTGAAATAGGTCCTGGCCATATGGTCAGCGGAGGAGAGGAACTCCGAAAGCCGTGCTCCGCGCTCTGAACATGGTCAAAACATATGTCGCAGTGGGCTGCGGTTTTCCACTGAGCGATCTCCTGGCATGTGGGAATACAGCAATTCATATACTCTGAAATGTAATTCATCAAAAATTTCACAAATTTCATTTGCCAGAAAGCGGAATGTGGAGGGATTGAGAGGGGTTGAAGGCTCAGTTTTAAAATAGGTAATTAACTTTTCATGTAGGTGAAGGAAATTGATCCCTTTTCGGAAAACTCGATTGGGAAAGGTAACATTTTTAGATAAGATACTGAACTTAACATTTAATACATCATATTTGGGTTATGTTTTGGTAAAAATAAATATATTTTATAGTCCAAAAAATAAGCTAAGAGGTTTCTCAATATAAGTTAACAGCATACTTTTGTATTAAAATACTTGAACTTTCCTCATAACATTCTTTAACTTCAGAACTTAAATTCTTCCACTCTAAGCCCCACTCTTAGCCCACAACTTTTGCAACTCAATCAAAGTGCATAAAATACGAGGGCTTGAACTTTAAACCTCCGCTCAAAGGCTCCGACAACTGCAGCAGTAACAATTGCAGCTGAAACATGGCTAATTGCAATTGCACAACAACTGCAACTTGAAAAGGAGCATTGCAAAGGATACCAGCTGCAGCAATCAATAACAGGGATACCCCCACACACACACACACACACTCACCCTTGCAACAAATAGTTGCAGCAGGAAGAAAAAACAACAAGCTCACATAGAGAGCATAAACAACGAGCTGATAATCAATAAAGCAAAAGCAGGACTGATATATCCATAACAACCAACAAGTGGAACCCACCAGCGGAGGGGCAACAGCAAAGGGGGGGTTAAGGGTGCCAATGGGGGTACGCTTTAGGGGTTAGGGGCAACATAGAACTTTAACTACTTGTGGTAATGGCCAACAACTCTCAGAAAACGGATGCAATGCCTTCCAATTAAACGGTGCACTGAAGTGATTGCATTTGGGGGCCAAGGAAGAACGGAAGGAAAGTAAAATAACTCAAAAATTCCCCAGATCATTCAGATAAGAAATTGCAAACCTAAAGCTCAAAGTGAAATATAATTAGACTAGAAAAATATTTAAGTAAGATTTTTTACCTTAAAAATTTCCAGTACGTTAAGTTTGGGGCTCATTTTGGCCTTGTTGATAATGTTTTAAAGGCATTTTAAGGACTTTTAAAACGAATATTTCCAATTTTGTAGTAAGCCAATGAAATTAATCTATCTTTAGGTTTTAAACTATAAGTTTCGTTACTTAAAATGTAGTTTTTCTTTTTTGTTTATTACAAACCAAAAATATTTCCCATTTCGGAACTTGTTTTTGTTTCCTGAGCCAAACTTTTTAGTGCTGAAAATTGCACGAATTCAATTGAATAGATAAGTTCCTAATAAAATACTTGCACGCAAGCCGCGAACTTGGCCAAATGTTCTGAATAAAGGCACGACCAGCCCATGCGTCGTATGCGTAATATTCGCAAGGAGTTTAAAGGGGGGAGTGAGAGGGCACACTATATCAAAGGGCAGCTGTTCCTTCAGCACTTATGAGGTCAATTAAATTGTTGTAAAAAAGAAAAAGAGCCCAGCTAGCTGGAAGCTAAGGCGAACACATTTTGATCAGTTCATTAAAAACATTAAAAAATAAAAACTATGATCGAGGGGCACCACACGGCGCAGAACCCTAAAAATGAGCGAGGCTCTCGACCTGCCACTCGAATAATTGCAGGTGTGCATTGCAGCAGGGAGAGGCAAGGTGACAATTTTGCGTCACTCGAGCGAGTCAGGCAGTCGGTGTCAGCTTCGAGCCAGGCCCACAGCCGGGGTCCATGGGGTGGCACTACGAAGGCTATGGCATTTTTTGCCAACTGCAGTAAAGCGTAATTGTTTTTGTTTTTCGTTTTTTTTTCTTCATTCTTTATTAAGCCAGCAGGAACAGCGAATTACACGACTGCCTGTCGATGGTGAAACGTATTAAGTTGGAGTTTTACGGCATAGCTAAGAACTAAAAAACAAGGGAATTTAACGCGTGAGGGAAACTAAAATTATAGAACATGAACTTAGGAAGGGAAAAATTAGCTTTAAAGAACTTTAATTTTGACATACTTCAGTTTTCATAGTGTAGCTAGAGTATAGGAGAAGAGCATCAAAACCATTTGTTAGATCCCAAAAGATTATTCTATTTATTAGATTCATCGATGTAATAGATATAGACACTTTCAAGGGAATATTTGGCATGGATTTAAATCGAATCAGATTGGTTAATGTAACTTTTATGGCAGTTGAAACTTCAAACCTATCAAATCACCCTTCTCATGTTCAATACTTTTTATTCGAAGTTCTTAATTTGCAATTTTAAACCTTAAAAAGTTGTAAGCATGTTTATTCATTACTTTTTACCCTTATCTACTCAAACTTCATCTATGATCCCAAGCTAGTTTCTTAATTAACGACTTACTAATGCTTTTTTAAGGTTCTTTCCCTAAGCGAACACAAGCTTTAAGCTAGCTAATTTGAGATTGATAAGCAAGTTGTATAATGACTGTGTTTCTATCCTAAATAGATCCTGATTCTTCGCTTTTCCTACGATAAACCATGAAGTCTTGGGCTGCCAGTTCTTCACCCCGTTTCAAGGCTAAGGTGCGGAAGCTAAAACTGAAGCCGAAGCTGCAGCTGATCAGTGACTCTTGATTATGGTGGTCGCAACATTAGCGATCGGTGGGCCTGCACTCGGCTGGTGGGCGTGTCTTGGGCCTGCAGTTTCCCCGCTCACTTTCTGCATATTTACCGACGCTGCTCATGATAATGCGTGAGTTCTCATATATTTATATTGAAAACATTATTCTTTGTGCCGCTGCAGCAGCTAAGTACACAAAATTATCAGAAATTATGTGCACCTTGGGACGGGCAGATTCCGATCTCCCCCAGCGAATAGCCGCAGGGGCCGCGGTCGTCATCATCATCATCATGCCCGTTCATCATCATCATCATCGTCATCTCCATCAACTGTTTGGCTACTGTAATTTCACGGTAACCTGCCCCGACATGCATAATGCAAATCAATTTGAGACTTTCGGGCGGCAGAAAAAACAAAAAACAACAACAAGAGGGGATTCGCCCTTCGGCCAGGGGCCAAGTTAAAAGTCAAAAGCCAATGGCAAAGGCGATTTGTCATCAAACCTACCGACGGATCATTAACAATGGAATCGAATGATTGGTTTTTAAGACCAGTAGCCAACGGAGATTGATGGTTCGTCAGCGGGTGGCGCCACAAGGTGGCAAGTTGGCAAGTGGCTAAGTGGCAAGTGCAGCCAATCGCATTGATTGAAATCTTTCAGTAATAACAGAGCAAATCCCCGAACCCCTCCCAGACATTCCTGCCTCCCGCTGTGCATTTATATCTGAATCGGTGTATCTGTATCTTGGGGATTGGGATTGAATCTGGAACTCACCTTTTGCCGTTGCGTCGCCTTCGCTTGGTGGCGTAGACGGTGCCCAGCTGGCTCATTGCTAGGGCGGAGTTCGTTATGGTCGCCGTCGTGAATGATTTTTACTCTTATTATTTTTCGTATCAATTTTTCGTCGTCGCGGTCGTCGTTGTCTTCTCCTGCCTTCAGCTCGTCTGCCGTACAGGTTGTATCTTTTTTTCTTTCTTATTTTTTGTAATTGGTTTTTATTTATTGATTTGGCTTGGCTCTGGATGCACTCTCACACTAGCACACATACACACACAGAGAGAGAGGCACGCACACAGACAGCCAGAAGCTGAGTGCGATCAGATCCGTTGAGATCCTGCTGCGGGTTTTGGGTTTTCGGTTTCGGAGTTGCGGCCACGCGTAAATTTCAGCTTTTTTTGTAGTTGCTTCTTTGTATTTATTTTTAATTATCATCACGCTTACATTTTGTTTGCTTTTTTCATTTCTCGCACTCCTTTTTGTTTGTTGTTTTTTGTTTTTATTTTTTGTTTTTATTGCACTGCAGTTTCAGTTGGCTGGAGCTATATGAGAGATTTTATGCGAAACTGTGATTCAGCAATCGAGAAAGGCTGGGGAATCATTGTGCTGGCTAATGGCATTATTTTATTGCTGAAAACTATAACTTTGATTGGACCCATTAGATCTATTCAGTAATTGGCCACCGGTAGCAATACAATTTACATTGCTTTTAAATATTTCGGGAAAATGGGTTTCCGCTATTTTATATTTTATCAAACCAATTAGACTAATTTGGTAATGGGCTTCTGTCGCAATAACAACCATTGTTGGCCTTTCTATAGAACTGCATAATTTGTTTATTTATTTAAACTGTTCTGCAAATTAAATAATTGCAAAGGCAATCTAAAAAACTCTAGCCCCTTCCATTCTCTTTATTATTTTTAATAATCTTTCTATGTTTGAGAATGATAAACGTTTTAAATTTGAAATATATTTAAACTCGATTTAAAGTATAAAATTTAAGTTTATAAAATGTTTTAACTGATTATCAACTTAGCAGAAAAGTTATTAGAAAAATAAAGGTAACGACAGTCTGAAAAAGATTAAGATTATGAAACCTTATAAATCTAAAACTTGGCTTTTCTGTGTCTGAGAATATTGATTTTTCCATACGTGAGGTATTTTGAATTCTTATTAAACGAATGAGAATACAATAGTTAATATAAAAATGGTGAGAATTGATAAAATTGTATCCTTTCAATGGACAAATACAAGTAATAAACATGACCTTTCTTGGATCATTAAGCTTTGATATATTTTGTATATTACTGAAGTTTTTAGGAAGTTTTACTGAAGTTGTCTTTGTAAATGTCTTTGAAATGACATTACTTTAAATTCTAAGGAGTATTAAAAGCTTAAGATAGTTTCTTGTTCCCTTCAAAAATATTCGATTAATGTGTGATTTATAGTTAATGTTCATAATAACGAACTAATATTAGCCCATTTTACAATATATTAGGTGGTTTTAAGTTTTTTAGAAACCTAGGAAATAACTTTAAGCTTATCTAAAGATAAAACAGCTTTTGATTAATGCTTTTCAGAAAATTCTGCCTATGAAAATTCCAAATCCCTCAATCCTTTCTCAATTGCTTTTCAAAATGGTTTGTTTTTTTATGATTTTTGTTTTGATTCTGGCAACTGCAATTTAGCAGTTTATTGTTTTGGTTCTTTCGTGGCAACACTTTTGCTTTTCACTTGCACTTTTGCTGTTGTTGGTGTTGGTGTTGTTGCCTTGTGGGCTCTGGTTTATCAATGGGCGATGTTTGCGATGACGACGCATGCAACAGAAGCGGAGGAAATCAAAATCGGCACGGAACCAAAAGCGCTAACGCAAGAACGGCACGCAAATCATTTGCGGCACGATCGACGCCGACGTCGGCGGAGGCGCCAGCAGAGGAGCAATGGCGAGTTGTCAAAGTGACATTTGTCTGGCACGCACACCAACACACATACTCACACATAGAGAGCGCGTGGGTGTTTTGGAATTGTGTAAGAAAAGGGAAATGTGAATGACCGCCGGCAGTCTGCAATTTCCACACGTGACTATCTGCTGCGTTTTTTGTTTATTATTTTGAAATTCATGAGCCTTTCGAGAACTTCCAGTTACAGGGTATTGCGTGTTGCGTTTCACTTTTAATTTTGTTTTAGGGAGACACGCACACACACACAGTCACACGCACGCACCTTTAGCGGGATTCTGGCGACGGCGGAACAACCGTTAGGAGGGAGCAGCGACTGCACGCGAGCGCCAGAAACGAGTGAATGAGCGAATGAACAACAGTGCCAAAAAAACGGACTGGAACGCAAACATTTGAAACGAAACACACAGGCGGAGGAGTTGGCTCTCTCTCTCTCGCTCGTACTTCGGCAGGGTCACGGGGAGCTCGCTCTCTCTCTTTCTCGCTCTCTTTCAAACGCGACTCTGCTGCGCTGCAGCCACGTAAACGCTTTGAGATTCCAACAAGAACTGAGCTGGCGCCGCGAAACGATTGGAAAAACCAGTCCTGGCGAAACGTATTGGTAAAGAAACACGCTGGCGGTGTGTTTTGGCCACTTTCCAGTCGTCCTGGCAACGAACGATCGCCAAGCGACGCGGCAGCGTGGGAGTGAGACAGAGCGAGCACTGTTCCATTACCGAACGTTTCAACGTCGCCATACGTGCGACTGGAAGGGAGCAACCAACCAAGACCGTCTTGGAAGTGTGCTCATTGCTATCTCACTCGCACTACACTCAAACCAGTGAGGGGGCGTGTTCGCAGAAACAAACCCACACACACTTACAGCCAAGTAGAGCCGACTCTTTCCAGCACAGTGGCAACTGGAAATTCGGGGCACATCGCTCATCTCTTAATTAATTAGGCGGTAATTAAGAGCTATCAGTGCTATCGCTCAATGGCATCTTTCTGTATATCATTTTAGTTCCAATTTATCTGAGCTGGGGTTTGCCTTTTTGGGGTTTTTCACCGTGAAATGCAAATTTTATTTGGTGTGACCAAAGCCATTAAGGCCACAAACATGAGCACTCACTTCGCGCTTATCGCGAATGATTTATTTCTCATGTGCCACTTGACAACCGCAAAAGAACAAGGAGGACGAAATGCACACCGCAGCCCAGAGCCCACTATCCACTATCCAGTACCCAGAACCAGAAATCATATTCGTATGCCTAAACAGGCAAAATGTCCGTGCTCAAGAGCCCGATTGGATATAGGTACGAAGCCCCTATTCCATAGGCCAGGCCATATGCTACGTCCGCTTTTGACCGCATGTCACAGATGGTGATGCTCCAGGTTCCTTGTGCTACTCACAGGTACAGTGGTTACACGTAAACTGTTGTTTTCTTTCTTATTTCAAAGAGTTAAACATTTTTTGAGATAAAAACACATATAAACATAGATTTCATGCAATAAATTACTCATTTTTAGCTTTAAATTTCTAATACTTTATGCTTACAGAAACTATTATATTTAATAATTTTGATATTATCAGAGCCCTTTTCCAAAATTTATGAAATTTTTTCATTTTGAAGAAACTGTTTATAAGTTTTTGGAATAAAATCATTTTGTGACAGTATTTTTTCTATCATCTTTTATTCTCCAAATATCTAGCGCTAAGAAGTATGCAACATTATTTGTCTGCCCGGAATTTGACTAGGGGTTTACAGGTCGTATACGGATTTATAAAACTTAAGTCCTTAAACAATGCTCTGAAAATATCGGAATAATTTTCACTTTAATCTTTTCGTCAAAACTGATACAATTTTAAAAGTTATATAAAAAAAAGAACAATCATTATTATTAAACATAAGTAATAAATAATATAAATAATAATAAAAAATTCAAAAATTACATCTTAATTATCTTTTATAAAGAATTCCAAAAATTAATACAATCTCTTTTATAGATAGTCATAAGTCAGTCATGTTACATCTTTTCGAATGACCACTGTAGCTCGGCTTCACTTTCGTAAAGGTATTCTTTCTCTTATTGTGACGTCAGCCATGGACAGAATGGCTGGCACTGTCAATTACATTGCGTGCAACTATTCAATGCGAAGTCGAAAGGCAGAAGAACCGAATGTTTATCTAGCCAGGAGTCTTCTTCTTCAGCTGTACGCCGTCTGTAGTCTGCAGTCTCACTCAAATCCCGCTGAGCAAACTAAGGACAAGAGCAAGGCAGCAAAGTCAGCAGCAGGATCAGAAGAAGAAGAGGTATTGCTGCGAAATTCAGAAAAAAACAGAAGGCAGCGCATGTCAATCGGTGGCACTAATAAGTGAGTCCAGTGGAGTGGAGTGGCAGAAGGGCTTGCAACCAGTTTGGTTTCTTCCCACTTTTTCCCAGCTTTGCCCCTTTCCCCTCACTTACAGCTTATCAATTTACGCTTCAACTTTGGCAGAGATGTGTCCAGTGCAGGTGCTTTTCCCCACCTCGCCTCCTTGTTCTTATTACGCTTACTTCACCGCCTTGTGTTTCTTATCGCATAAAAGTACAGGTAATACACGCTAAATGGAAATGGTTTATCATTTAGGATTGAATAAAAGTGATTAAATCTCTCTATGGATCAGGAGACTATAACATATTAAAATGATAAAAGTTGATCTTTCTGAACGTGATCTATAAATATGAGTTCCTATTAGTATACAAAGTTAGTCTTAATCTTAATTTTAATTTCCTGATGTAAATATTACTTAATTAATATTTATTTGATAGCTAAATATACATATACCTATTCAAGTCTCCACTGTACTTGGTTATTATTTCATTGCTGGTGTTTGCTGTTGACTCCCCGCTCATCAATTCCAACGATGACGTCGCTCCGCCGCCGCTGTGGACTTATGCAAGTGTGTTTTGCCGGGAGCCTTAATGCGACTTACCACTTCAGCCCCACACTCCGCTCAGTCTCTCCCTTGGCTTGCCTAATTTCGTAACAAGTTTCTTATTAACTCGTTTTTTTGCTCGTTGGCTTTGGCCAGCAGCTGCCTGGTCACATCAATGTCACTGCGCTGATCACATCTAGACAAGCACTCTATATAGATCTATATAATTTGCCAATTAAGTAGGGGATAACCCTCCCCGATATCAGACTGACAACATTAGCGGGGCACAAAAGCCGCAAAACGTTAAAAAAAAAAACAAAAAACAAATGTTTTTTGTGGCACTCTGCCAGCTAACCAGGCAAAAGGGTCATATAAAATTCCAGAGAAAGAAGGGAAGACCATAATGCATTTCCCCATAATGTTTACTCCGATCCATTGGCGGCGCCAATTAAATATAATTATTCTATGTACATAAACAACAGCGGTAAGCTTAAAACAAGGCAAAGCCATAAAGAATAAATGTAAACAAAGTGCAATCTGGCTATACCCTAAAGTAATGAATGATCAGGGGGTATAAGACTGTGAAAGGGGTATGAACATTGTATTTTAACTTGGCTGAATCTAGGGAAAATAAACTCCAATAACTTAGTTAATATATCAGTTTTGAAGATAATTTTTATGGTCTTATCTTAACCCTTTTTAAGGTAAAACAAACCATAAGAAGCAAAGAAGTATTTAGTACTTAAAAGGGCAAGAATATAACCTTCCTAGCCAACTTACCTTATATACTACCTTAGAATAGTATATTCAAACAGGGTATGAACCGATTAGTTACCTTTACCTTTACCCTGCCAAAACAATAACCATCAACGGGCTATAAAACAATGTTTACCTTTTAGAGAAATGCAACTGACCAACCGATTCCCATTCCACATCCCCACCCACCTGGCTGCCCGATAAGTAGCCGCAATTATAATTGCCGTTTGTGGCAGCCCAAAAATGGCTGCCTTTGTCCAAGCTAAAAACACTCGCACACACACACACACAAACACAATGGAAACATGACAAACAAACGGGCAGCAGCAGCAACAAAAATGTCATTTTAGACAGAACACAGAACTTACTACACGAAACACAAAAAAATAAAGGCTGGAAAATGCAAACAATGGCCGCCAACAGCAGCAGCGGCTATAACAACCCGCGATCAATTGCGCGAGATAAGTGGACAACGCCGCCACCACCACAGACACCACCTCAACCACCACCACTAGTGCTGGTACTACTGCAGCACCGCATTGGGAAGGGCGACCAACCCAAACGACTCAAAGTGCTACCACCACCACCCAACTCCACCCCCTCCTCCGGTGCCCTTGCATTGCTGACATATTTCCGATTGAGTTTCCTCCCACACTCTACTTTGAAAAGGTTTAGGCTAAAGAATCAGTGCTTTTGTCCTAGGGGATTAGCTTTATTTGTAAATGGGGAGGAAAGGATTTCTTAAGACGCTGATGCTTGATCTATCAAACTATAATTAAAGATAAATTAATCATTAGAAAGCCCAAAGGAAAGACATATTGAAACTTCAATAAGGTATGCTATATCTAAACAGGAAAGTATGTGGGTTGCGATAATTTAATTTCTTAGAAGTATAAAGAATGATAATTAAAGAAGTGCAAATATTAATAATTATTCCATTCGAATAAAAATCAAGTTCTAAAATCTCTTGATGTAAATTGATCTGTTTTTTGGTTTCTCTACCTCTCATGTTTCATTGTTAAAATATCCTTAAAGGTCACAAGTTCTGTTAATTTACTCAAAGTTAACTTGAGACTGACTTCCTTTAATGCCTTGAATTTTTTTATTTTTAAAGTATACAAAATCTTAAGATAAAAGTCATAAGTTCAGTTAAGTTATCTAAAGTTAAGTTGAGTAACTAAATTATATGAAAATTCAAATTATTTCAGAAATTTATCCGAAATGGAAAAACAGTATTTATGCGTTCTCAAAACAGGTTTCTAAAAAAGAAAACAATTATTAGTTAATAAATATCGCGCTTTGACTTGACAGTTTGAAGCAAATAAGAAATATTTATCAGATTTCTATAATTTAGTA